CTCCCTCGCACCAGTTCAAAGGCGAACCGAGTAGAAAACAAGGGACAAAGGTAGTCGGTGGGGAAGAACACATATATAAACGAACGGGGACAAGCAGAAGACTATCACTTCACAAGCACTGATGACGTCACCTCGGCTGGTGATGAAACAAATTGCCAAGCTCGACAAGCAGGCGAAATGGAAGGGAAAAATGTCCATGATTTGCTAGTGGACGAGCGACTGTCCGGCCGTCCAGGCCAAAGTATGTGCATTTTCTTGGGGAATTCACAACCGAAGTGTAAATATTTACTGTTTTCGGAACCGGAGTGCACATAATTTGAGTACTGTACAGGATCAACATCCAGCGATACAGTTACACTAGTTCACTTTACCTGGAATTGGGGTTCCTTTTCTGAGTTTTACTCGATCACTGGAGTCCTCGGTTAGCCGAAAACCGGACCCATAAGGAAGAACGGCGGTGTGAAAACCGCAGCCCAATGACGACAGGTGTCCAGTTGATCGGATCATATACCTCTTGGGCCGGGTCAACCACCTACAGTGCCCAATACACTTCGATACCTAATCGAAACTCAGAAGAGGCTATTCGAGAATCTTGGTCATATCTGATCGTTTTGCGAGACACAAAGTGAAAGTAACCAATCTGCGACCGAGATAGCCACCACCCCGACTAAAAGCAGGTTTTCAGAGGCATTCGAAAGCAACATCAATACATACAAAGAAACCGAATTCCGCAGTTTTCACGATCAACGAAAACCCGAGCTCGGCTGATAAGCTCATTCTCACACAACCACGGACGTTCCTGAACGGTTGGTGGACCAAGTTCTAAACAATACCCTAACATGGCGAGTGATCTAGTCGAACCAACTGAGTTTTCGGAGCTCAACTCTGCATTTGAATTTGTATTAAAAGAAAATCAACCCCGGCTAATAGGGTTGAGATAGGTAACTTGATATCCTGAAAGCAAGATAACATGGCCAGATATCGGCTGAAAACAGATCCGTTGTTTCATGAGAAACACCAACAAAGTTCGACAATGATGAAAAGACTATCCCTATTGTTTGGTCAAGCGTTGATATAGACTGGTGAACAACGTTCACAATCGAAGCAATCAATAATCCATTACTACTGAGCATCCACCAAGAGAGCGTGAACAAGGAATAATGACCCTAATGAGAAATGGAATACCTCAACTACAAAAACCTTGGAAAAGACCAGGAACATCATTTAGCCACAATAGGACCTGCTCCGAAACAGAAGGAGATCTAGATCACTCGTTGTTACTGGAATTCCAAAAGACTGGCTTCCAAACATTTCCAAACCGTCCGCATGAACAGTGACAAGATTGGCATAAATCTATCCAGTTTGTCTACTTACTCAGTCGAATCATACACCAATATTCACAACCGTTTATCAGTTATCATTCAGGTGGTTGTGTGGCAAATGGAAATTTAATATTGAAATTGTGAAAGGTTCAGTAGCCTCGGTGGGATTCGAACTCATGCATGAACGCTGCCTACGCTTTTGTAAAGCGCACGCTCTACCAACTGAGCTACAACGGNACAACGGGGCCACACTGACACAGCACTGATCTTTTCACATTCGAATCGCCCATCCAACTTACAGTGAGACATATGGCATCCACCAGGTAGCATATAAGTCGACTGCCATAACAGATTTTCTTTATAATTTATTGGAGTTCACCGAATGAACATTTAAGGCAAGGTTAATTGTTTAAATGGTTGTTAGGTAGATTAGAGTCTAGGCGGCGTCTATGCGGGGGTTCGAATCCCACCGAGGCTACTAAACTTTTCACAATTTCAATATCAGTTATTACTCTAACTGCTATCATCACGCTCGTCCAACAGATAGATAGAAAAGTTTGACGTTTTACCTCGACGAAACAGCACCAAAGAGAGAGGGAGGACCCGGCATAGTCAACTGCAAATTGCGATTCAAATGTGTGAATAATATGACCAGCATATTAAAACCACCCGGAATCGGTGAACAAACAGAGAAAGAGAGAAATATCAGGAAAGAAAGATTAGTTGCATATGCTTTGGAACAGAGCCTGAGTGTGAAGCACACGCTAGCGGATACGATCGGAAGCTGTGCAAAAAGACGAGGAAAACAAAACAAAAAGAGAAAAAGTAGAAAAAAGTAGAAAGAAAAAAAAAGCGAAAATCGAGGTGAAGCCACTGTACATAAGATGTTGGTTGGTGTGCGTGTACAGACCAGTTTGAGAATAAAGTCAGAGGTTGGACGGGACGGGATAGGGGNGGGGGGGGGGGGGGGGGGGGGAGAAGAGGGAGTGAATGCACAGATTGATGGACGGACGGACGGACGGATGGGGACAAGATGGGTGAGCGAGAATTGCGGGGACGGGGGGAGGGGGATTTGGCCGCATCGAGCGGAATTCGTATGCGTCATTCAGAGTGTGGAATCAAATTTGAGCAACGGTGCGAGCAGATTTTGCACGTTGGTATAGTTACGCTCTAATTCACGATGATATTCCACTTGATCTGGACCGATTAGATCGCGATTCACGCACAAAGCTTTGTACGATCTGATTGAATAAGGTGTGGTTCCCAGTACCAACGAATCCATTAAGAGAGAGAGAGAGACGGGGGGAAATGGATAAAAAAATGAGCAATAGGAGAACGGATGGAAATACAAAAAAAACGTAATAAGTCACGAGGACGAAAAACGTCAATAGATAGCGAAATCACTGCTTTATTTTACCATAAACGATTGAGTGGACGCATATATCTGAACAAATATCGTCAAAATAACTAAAGTTATATACATATAATAATATGAAGGATAATTTAGAACCTAATTTCCGCTAGAAAAGGGAAGCTGCAGAGTCGGATGGGGATAGTGGACCTCGAGTATAAATTCGAAATGCGTCACAAACCACTGAAATTTCCGTACCGTCCTCAAAGCAACCGTTCCAGATGATGCGCTGCATTTTATTTTATCGGTCATTCTCTAACTGTTCGTGTACAGTTTCATACATCATGTGGAATACAGTTTCACAGTTTCAGTGTGTACAACCCTGTGTGTACAACCATGTACTTTCGTGCACCGGTTTTGGTTGTCCATTTGAACGAGCAGTAGGAGAAAGACAGGAAAGCTGAAAGTACAGTCGAATAGAAAATGGAGAACTTCAGTGGACAAATGTTGCAAAGAAATTGAGAAGATATAGGGACGACCCTGTTTACGACAATCAGCCATATCCCTCAGTGTTGATAACCATCGGTTACGATCATCCTCATTCAGGGGGCCTAACAGGACCTAGATGACCCAGACTCCTGGTTACGATTTGCATACCCTCATACCAGGTCTTAGTTTGACCACTCTTAGCTTTATTCCACCCACTGACTGCCTGGGTGAACATCGTTGGCCGAGGTGACCCATGCCCCAGTGAATATTCAGTTGGACGATGCGTGCGTGTGTGTCTGTGTGTGTATTGAGGGATTGAATAACAATCAGTCAGACAGGCAATAAACGAAAGCTACCGACTGAGGAGCGAGAAATGTGAGTCGAATTATTCGACCAGCATCAACCAACGAATAAGAGATGTGATTCTGACAGCTGCCAAAAAAGAATGTCGGCAATGGAAAAGAAAACGAAAACTTTGTGAACTGTGACTATGGTGATCAACGATAGAACTGGTCAAGGAGGTTCGGTGGATAAGCAAATATATGATTGTGTTTGTATGACATAATAATATTTATGACTACCAACGCAGAGTCAGTTGCTTCATAATGGTCTTTCTAATGCACACATCATAGTCCTACCGATCACAGCCTCGATGGATCTATGCTGTATTGCCCCACAAATGCGTTTATCTTTATTAAAATATTGCATTCCTTTAAAGTACGCCCCTCAGATTTGTTCTACGGGCCTGTCAAAATGGCAGACGGATAAAGACAAATTCGAAAATGACCTATAAGGCAATAACAAAAAACGCCCTTGGCAATTGTTTTCGTCTACTCAATTTTACGTCCAGTGTGATCCTGAGAAGACTTGGAGTAACGACGTTGGGAACAACCCAGAGTGAACAGAAACAGATCACAAATACGGAGACATTTTTCTCAAAGCACATCGAGTTTTCATGTGACTCAATTGTACTGCATTTTACTCGCCTGTCCTGCGCGGATTCGGCTGAATGTGATGGTATTGCTCTGGCGGAGGTTACCGCGATTGGACCGGTCGTGCAGGCTTAGAGCATTAGAAAAACAAATCATATGGTTGGTTGTTCCGACTAGGCAATGCCACAAGGGACAATCAACAAGTTATACTCTTCCACTGACAATACGTCGAACTGCAATCAATTCATAGTGTTGGCCGGTCATGTTGTGACCGAGAGAGGAAACTTTTTCTTTAACCGTGTCTCAGTTTAGTTCCGATCAATCATGCGTATCTGCCATCCCTCTCAAAGGGCCAGTTGAAAATATAAAATGAACTGTACCTTCATCACTGTAAGTGGTGGCTACAAAAATGCTCAAACTTTCGAACCGCGAATCCCATTCAGCTGTTCAATCACGTTTGCGCCCACTGTCTACCAGAACAACTTTGTGCAATGTTCTATGGGGACGGTGTTCTTTTTGTGATCAGAAACAAGTCTGTAAGTCATGAAGTGACAACTTTTATGCATGCAACTGTTCCTTCCATGTTTAACATAATTCTAAGTAGATTACTTTTAGTTGCCGTTTTTCTCTGTCTCTCTTTCTCTCACGAACTGCAAGGATGGTGGTGACACCGTGGTTTAGCCACCGTCCAAGGCGTGCTTTGGACCTTATGGTCCGAGGTTCGAGACCCGCCACCGCTACCTAACTTTGCTGGTAGGCAGCTGTCGCGTCGTCCAGTTCAATATCACACGTAACTTATCGGTGCCTTATGCGGTTTGCCATTCCAAGTCCCGGGGCTTACGTTGCCGGTTTCCACCACGTGACTATGGGGCTTTCCTCGTCTACGGTTCATCACACGAAAGTCTGTAATAAAAAAGCCTAGAATTTTATAAAAATGATGTTAATAAAATGGAGCACAATACTAAAACACTTTCGTTGGCAGAGCAAACATTCACACCAGTTGTCAATTCATGTTTCATATGCAAAACTTTGTGGACAGGAGCGCATATATGCTGCAGACCGGGTAGATATTCGTAAAAGCTTTATCTCTGTTCGTTTAAATCTCGCGAGTGTGTAACGCATCCCGGATGAACCGATTCACGTGCAATTGATACAACCGAGGAAGGGTCACACTGAATGAGCTCAGAGACTTAGAGATGCCCCCAGGCCGAGCAAGCGAGAGGGAGTGACCGAGAATTGACCACTCCCGATTGTTGACCAAGAAACCTGGCGAATTTTAATGTCTGTTTCAGGTCATCAGTTCCAATAAAGGCGAATAGAGAACAAACCGCCCGAAATCAGCGGGAGATCACGCAGAACCTGTGCTGCTTCCACATGCACACACCATGTATGCCGACCGATACGGCAATATGGCAAGCATTGTACCTAACCGCATTTAACTTGAAGCTGTTCAGCATGTTTGATCGATTGATCGATCATGTATAGCAGCACATCCTACTGCATTCATCTCAAATGAAACTTGATACCAAGCAAAAGCCGATGATAAAGACGAAAAACGAGAACGAGAAAGGGAAGAGTTGATTGGCGAGAAAATGTGAGAAAAAGATTGATCCATTTCTACCACTCAGGATTTTGTCACCACCAGAATTGTCGTTAGGTTCACATTGGAAACGCTTCACTTGGTTACTTTCCTCGCAATTGATCTCCCGTTGGTTTCAAAGTTTAACCGAGAAACAGCAAATATATTCTTACTTGATGAGAGAAAAAACAAGTTTGAGTAGAGTTGACCAAACCACTGCAGTCGTGTGTGTGTGATTTACAGGGGGTCTGCACAGACGGGGGCTGAACACACGCANATACAGTCACATAATAGTTTAGCCCTGAAACAAACAACCCCAAGGTCGCCATAACAGCTGAATGCACATCTTGGGACGGGAAATGTGTTGAAAACGGGAAGTAATCATGTGAGTGGTTAAATGGATATGACATTTTCACAAAGCCGGAACCAGTGCAGTGCAAGCACACGCTGAGTTTTACAAAGAACCATAGTAAGAGGAATTAGGGCAGATGTTACGGGGCAAATAAAGTGTTCCTCTCTCTATCTCTCGTGCTTCGCTAAATTGCACCTCTGGCTTAAGCGCGCGCTCGCTCGCTCGCTTTCCAAGCACGGCTGACGCAAAGACATCTACCTACCGACCTACCTGTCAAGCAGTTGACGGAAACAAATCCGCAATCGGTTTTGACAATCCACATAGGCAGTCGGGTCGGTGACGGCCGTAGATCGATGCGAATCCATTTCGCCGTTCGCGGACGGGCGTAGAAATGTGCTGGCCACTTCGACTGGGCCTTGGTTCACGGTAGTACCAATCCCACCCTGTAAGTATGTTTGTATATACGAAACGGGGCGGGGGCGGGGGAGAGGAGAAATACACACACAAGAAACAGTTTACACGGAGAGGTGGGTGGGCGAACAGAGACGAAGAAGAACGAATGACGGGGGGTGAATTGGATTTGCTGAACAGATATTGCCTTTTATTTTAAAATGCATCCAAGAAATTCAGTCGACGTTCCGAGGTTTGAATAAATAAAAATAGCATTCGATGGTAATTCAGACACGAGGTGGTACTATTGTGAAGGAACCCGAATCACCAAGTACATTTCATTTAAATAACAAATGGCACAAAACAGAGGGTATTGCACGTTCGTGTCTGATGTTCGTGAACGAGAATCGGAATGGAAACTAGTTCCGAACAGAACGGATGTAGAAACAAAATTGCACACCTGGCAACACAGTTAAGTAGCACCTTAAGTAAGTAAGTAAGTAGTATATGAGCGACCGAACACCATTTCCTCGAAGCACAAATCCAGTCTCGTGATTCCTATCATCAACTATCAGAACATGCGCATTCTGTGTCAAGTCATTTTTATAATTATACTCCCGAGATGAATAAATAAGGATGAGACCCAACCAGATTGAAACAGTTGTCCAGTGTTTTCTAGCCTTCAGTTCATGCGTCACCATTATCATCCAATCCAATCAAATCGTCCATTCCTCTCATGCAACAAGCAGTCAGGTTGTGAAATTTTCCATCCGAGTCATAAGCCTGGACACTGTGTTGAGATAAACGAGGTCCGTTGCTCGCAACAAGCTGCCCAAAGATGGGTTGTGCTATAACGTGTATATTCCAAATGAGAAACGGTCTGATCAGCTGCCCGGTGGGTAGTATGCTGGCGTTCTTTCTACCTGTGGGGATCCGGGTTCACGACCCCCAGTTGGGTGAATGGATTTGCCCAATGCATTGATGAAATCCAATGAGATTGAAACGATTGTCCGGAGTGCTTTCCAGCTTTTCATTTCACGCCTCGTGTACACGACGAATTCATCATCGAAAAATAAGGATTAGCCTCATATACAACTCGGTCCGGTTAGGTGGGGTTAGATCGCGCGACAGAATCTTTCCATATACCTTATTCCTTTGTGCTCACTCACAATTCCGTCAGGTGTGATGCGACTTTCGAGAAAGCCGTTGACGAGTTATAACGTTCATCAGTAAAGGTGAACGCAGGCACAGAGGCTTAATAATGTTCAATAAGTACTATGCACTCTGACGCACCAATCGTCCGATAGGTGGGCGAAATTCGCCGCACGCGTGTTCATCAATTCAGGAGAGGATAGCATCGGCGTGTTCCAAGTGGAGAATTTCGTTATTGCCCCATATATTAACAATATAACTTTAAAGAACAGATGACGCCTTCTGGAGAGGGTCATCAGCGGTAGAGACTAGACTACGGTCCATAAAGTACTGGGATCGGCAAGATCAATGGGAGAACCGAAAATAACGTCCTTTTGAGTTTATTCCGAAATCGAAGTTGTCTCTATTGGCAAGACTTATTTTAAATGAAGTTAAAATTATCATACACTTGTTTCACACACACACACACACACACACACACACCATACGAATGTATCAATCAATCTACTAGAAACAGGTGCTCTGATAATTTGATCAATGACCCTTCAGATTGGACTTGGATGAGATCATTTTGGGTCCACAGAAAGTGATCTTATCATCCATGAAAAGTGAACTACACGGGGATAGTTTGAGTGAAACACAACACTGTGGGAACCGATGATCACTGCATCAGTTTCCATGTTCACAGTGAATAATCATACCGATTCGTGGTGCACTTTTGGTTGCTGCCTTTCGGTTGACCTTCGGGATAAACATCAGAAGGAAGAGTGAGATGTGGAGCGGAGAGTCAAAGAGAAGACGAAAAATTTGTTTAAACTAACATTGCAAACATAATGGGTAGATGCTTGCGACATTCGGTGCCTCTAACCACTGGGGTTACGGTAATCCGAGGGTTTCCATCTAAGGAGCCTAACGCAACCTATATGACTGAGTCTTCTGGTTAGGCTTTTCATACCTTCAGGCCAGGTCTTTGACTTTTTTCCATCCAGCAGCCACAGCTTCGGCAAACATCGCGCGTCAGAGCAATCTATTTGGTAACATGCACGATACCAAAACCAACGTAATCTTCGGAGGGTGATCATTTGCCTTAAAGAAAGACCACGATTGCCCAAAACCTCTGCGCCTAACCTAAGCATCGCTTGTCCGGTTTTCCCCCAAGACTCGCATCATACGACGAGGATAGCGGTGTTCAAACACCGACAGCCTGTCTTAATCCTGTTCCCTTGAGTGCCCATTTATAGCACCCTAAAGCAGTACTAGATGAACTGCTACAACATACACTCGACCCGTCACAGCTAATCGGATGTCGCTGCGGCGCTACGAAT